GAGTGAATTTTGGCATTTGATGATGTGTTTTACCATGCCCAAAGTCACCTTGTTTCTACATTCACATAGTCTCACCAAAACTTTTGGAATTGATTACAATTAAGCCCTATGACTATGGTGGATGTCATTTATATTCTCATTTTAGGAATGGTTGATGGTAGGAAATAAGGAATTAGTAACCATCATCATGTGGTACCCTACTTTCAGTGGAGAATGCTTCTCTTGTATCATATGCTCGGGTTTATAGGGGTGCTGATGTGTCACCTATGAGGTGTTGATCGTATTTCACGGGTCACCCCTATCTCCACTTATATAGTCCAGGGCAAGGTTACAAATGGTATGCCGAATGATATGAATCTACGGTTTCCTAGTTTGTTACAAAGAGATCCTATTGGATCGATTGGGTTATCACGATTTGCTTGGTCCCTAGGCTATCTAGGCAATATCTTGTCTTCCAAGTAGTTGATGTGTCCTGTCTAGTTTGGGCGTCTTCCTTAGTAGGCTCAGCCCATCCCATCTTGGTCAAGCTTCTCTCCATGTGACGAGGGTAGCGGCCCCCAAAATACCGACACCGCCGATCTTTGTCCCAAACCAAACTGGTAGTAAAGATGATTTTACCGCCAATTTTATTCTCAACTAAGAGGATATATTATCATCAATATAATGGTTTTAACAATACCAGCGATGTATGTTGATGGAAAAAACAATTTGTGTAATAGTGATGGGTTTGTTTGAGCAGTTTAACTTCTCATTCGTCTAGAAGTTGTTGCATCACCCACTTGTTAAAATGCGACTGGCTTTATTTAGAAATAGTTACCTCATCCACCTCAATAAATCCATTTGAGCTTCGTGTGATATTTTTCCCCACCTCCTTGAGGTGACAGCATCACGATGTTGCTTGGGAGACGATGACAAATAGATATTGGACTGCACTCACAGGAAAATAATTCATCGATTTTCAGGTCCATCACGATCGACAGGTTATAAATACAGGCTACTCACGGCAACCTTTGCCGGCAGCAGGTCGGGGTGACCTCGGACCATTTGGAAAAGAAGCATTTTGAGAAGAGGCTGTTTGTGATCAGGTCATTCTTATTCTCATTCGCTCATATGCATACTCCAGCATAAAAAACAAAGAACTCGATGGCATCCCTTTCTTGTGTTTTTTCTCCTATTTTGAGAGCATATTTCCTGCATAGTTTCTGATGTGAACGCTACGAAACTGCTTGCTTTTTGTTACCGCTTCAAGGTCCTGCTTAAGATATGACACTTAACTTCGCATCGTTCTCTTGACTAGACTTTACATAGCATCAGAAGTACCTCTCTTGGCTGACTAGTATAGAAACGGTCAATACGTCATTACAAAAGCTGGCAAGTTCTCATTTCACGAAGCCTCCCTTAATAGAATCATATGTCCATAGATAAATTATGAGTAAAATGCACCACATGTCCATTAACTTTTGGAGATGTGTCATTTAGGGTCAACTTTCAAAGTGCATTTTCGGGTCCTTAAACTTTCTATGTTGTGCATTGCAGGACCATAACCATTCAGTTGCTTGGTAATTTTTCATTGGACCCCTTCACTTGAATAACTCTATCTCAAAATAGCCCTCACGAAGAACATCGGTGCCGGCAACCACGCCGTCGCACAGTGAGCATGCGGGGCCAGCCACGTCGCCGCCGCGCCAGGTCAAGAACGCCATAGCGCCGCAGGCAAGCAGGATGGCGGTCGTGTGGGGCCAACCACGCCACCGCCGTTTGAGCGGGACGGGCAGGTGGCCACGTCGCCGCTGGGCGGGCGGGCAACCACATGGGGCCGCCATGCCACCGATGGGCCACCACCCTGTCCTTTGAGTCACGAATCCTCTCACAGAGGAGTACGCACGTGGATGCCCCGAGGAGCGCCTCCATGTTCCGCTTGGCGCTCTTAAATCACGTCGTCGTCGTTGCAACATTGCCTCGGCGCATTCTTCATAGCCTCGGCCTCGCGCACCTTCGCTTCGCGTTCTCTTAGCGTTATGCATCCACGACGTCACCCGATCACGGCGTCCGAATCCTTGTGCGGCTGTGCCACGCCTCCTCCTCGCATCGTCTCGGCCGGCACCTCTCGCTGCGTTGATGAGCCGCGATGAAGTAGATAGGGTAGACAACACGCGTGCCGCTATGCTGATATGAACATTCGTGATAGACGGTGTCGGCGAAGCGTGGCCTGCGCCACACGAGGTGCACCATGCCATTGTTGATGGATGCGTTTGGATACTATCCGCATCGACAAAGTCGGCATGGCCCCTGCCAGGTCGAGGTCCCCCATCCCCATGTATGCCACTCCGCCTTCGAGGCTGCCTAAGCTGCTGCACTGCTGCAGTAATATAATGTGGATCGGAAAAGCAATCAGCTTGTTGGTTCTAGCGACGATACTCCTACTAGGAAGCAATTAGCAATTAGCTTCAGGGCTGCATACATACGGTGTCATTGTCGCTGGCCACCCACCGGCACGCTGTTAGTCTTGGAACGGCGGTGAACGCCGATCGCGACGACGGGACGCCGGGGGACGGAGTCAAGCTCACGAACTCAGCACAAACACAACGCGAACTCGTGTAACACTTAGGTGTTTTGGTGCTGCGATGAAGCGGCAGCTTTTACTGTTCTTCTATTCTTCCTTTTATTGGGAATCACAGCAAAGTCATGCTTGGCGATGGCGGCGTGGCTGTCCGGCTGAGCAGCCCGACCACCGGGCTCCCACTCACCTAGCTGTGGTGTAGCAGGCTCGCCCTAGTGGCGCGCGTGGCTGCCCGGTGCGAACGATCGCCCGGGACGCTAGCACGGCAGTTCCGTTGCTAGCCCACCTAGCCCGGCTGCCCACTTGCTCTGGCGGCAGCGTGGCACAGCGCCTGCCCGATCCCATGGCGTTGTTGGCTGGCTGGCGGCGGTGTGGCTGGCTCGTGGCGACCCGCTGCTGACTTCACTGAGCAATAGCATGGCTCCCAACGCCGATGCCTGCTCATGTTCTCCGTAAGGCTATTTTGGGATAGAATTATTGAAGTGAAAGGGTTCAATAAAAATTACCAAGCAACTGGACGGTTATGAACCTGCAATGCACAACATAGAAAGTTTAGGGACAAAAATGCACTTTAAAAGTTGATGGACCCAGATGACACCGCTCCAAAAGTTAATGGACTTATGGTGCATTTTACTCATAAATTATTGACCATCTTGTGCGGATAACATGTGTCTCCAATAGTACATTATTTTCTGAACCCTGACAAATACTTCTAGAGGTCAGGATAAATGCGTAAAACTTTAAGATGGGCAGAAAAAAAACATATTCCACCTGTGATCCATTATCACAGGCCTAGTCCATCATTTAGTTACCACACAGGGCGCCTGTGGTGGATCTAGAAAGGACAAGGGGGGCTAAATAATACTCCATTCTGATCATAAGTTGTAATGTAAACGCAAATTCAAATGACTCCATTCTTTGTATCAATCTAGATCATATAGTTTTCTTTTGACCTTCAGATCCATCTCCACTAATATTCTCTAACATCTCCGGTACAAAGGACCACATGAAAAAAAGATGTGCCAATGTTTTGTGACGTGTACCCGGCCCACCATGTATCACTAGGCATAGCAAGACTAGTTTCTTAGTTTTTCCGTCGCACAGGAAAAATAGCACCACCACGTAATTGCTTTACAAGCATCTCATCATGATTTTGAATGAGTTGATCGTTCCTCTTGCAAGAAGCACTAACAATATTGACAATCGAGAAGTGACATAATTAAAGAAATCAAAGGTTGAACCCAACACTTGGCTACAGAAACTACCACAAGCTGCAATTGATGAGCAAAACAGTGGCTGTAAAAAGAAAATGGGTTTTCATTCTATACCAGTCTATGTAACCCATGAAACTGTCCTCATATTTGAATCACTATCATATCCTTAGCCTCTAATCCTGGAAATAGATAGACCACATCCTATAGTCATAGCATCCAATGCTTCCTTTAGTGAAGGTGATGTGGTGTCATCAGAAACATGCTGAATGCCAAGGGACCTCTCAATCACATTTCCTTTATCATTGACAAACATACAAGAGAAAAGGGGAAAGTATAGTTAGTTGAAAACAACAATACAAAACCAATGAAATATAAAAATTAAGAGGTGATATATAGCTCACAACCATAGCCATTTGTTCCTCATAACAAGCACTGCAGAACAACTATCACCTATTTCAATTTTAATTAACTCATTTGTCTCCTCTATACAAGCCCTAACCAAATCTATCCAAACTACTGGACAAATCATTTGATTATTCCTTGGAGCATTTTCACCGGTCACAAGTGCAACACTAGGATCCTTCTTTCGATATCATTCAAGCATCTCCATAAAGTTCCCATTATTTATTGATGTTTTAGACTCATCGTGTCCATGAAAAGCTAGAGCTTGCAAAAGGAGAAATCAAGCGATACCTAACATGATTGTTAAACGAGCTTTATATGCCTCCTCTGCTACTGCACTTGTCACAGTCCACACATGTTCTACACTTTACAAAAAAACAAATTTAGTGGATGATTGGATTGAGTAGCTCACCGTGTAGACAGGAGACAACCAAACAGGATCATAGGAGTGCAGCAGTGCGCTTGTGCTACCATGCAGGAGAGCAGGGCTGAGAAAGTGAGGAGGCCAGGACCAGGAGGAGGGGCAGCCGGCAGGCGACCTGGCAGCAGCCTGGACCTAGCCACGCACCCGTGCTAGAGAACTGGCTCAGCTGGCTGGCTGGCTGGAGACCTGGCCATGGATGGCTGCGGCTTGGAGGAGGCGGTCAGGATGCTTGCAGGAGGCAGCCGCGGCTAGGAAGGCAGCGATAGCGATGCCGATCGTCAGGAATGAGCTGGCACGGCGTCGGTACTCACGAATTGTGACTTGACTGAGCAGGGAAGTGGCCGAACGTCGGGCTCCTCACTTGTATCGGGCGATAGTTGCAAACGGCGATCGGCACCCCATGAGCCCGGCTGGGCTTCCGCGCCGCAGGCCAGCCTTAGCCCGTGTCAAGAAGCCCGCATACCCCGACACACAGGTTTGTGCGGCTAATACGCATCGTCCGGCGGGCTCCGCGAACCCGTCTCGACTCGATGCAGCGAGGTGCGAACCTCCCTCCCCCTCCGCCGACGCCGCCTCTGCTTCCACGGCTGGCTAATACGTACTCTTCCAGCATTGCGCTGCTGGACCGCTTCGGGCGCCTGCTATGGTTTGGAGGGGGTTGTCGGGCTGGGTTTGAAGACCAGCTCCATGTTTTTTTTGGCTGAGGATAGTGGCTGCAGGACAACTCTAGGAAAAAGATTGATTTTACGACAACTCCAATACACACCAGTTTTTTCTTTTTATAAAATTCCATCAGACTTAAATAAAAAGATTGACTTAGGACATCTTTAGAAATTGATTTATTTGTGGATTGAGACTGGTTTGTCATAATCTGTTTACCTAATCAAATGATTTGACTTAGGACATCAGACTTAAACCTTTTTGTCATAATCTGTTCTATATCCGTTCTGTCATAATTTGTTTACCTAAAATTGTTTTTATGCAGAATAATACCACGTAAGTAATGTCACAGTCCGGGGCCTCAAATGTTTCTAGGGCCTTTCAAAGGCTTAAACATCGCCAGGAATCAATTTGATTCAGCCGTTGAACAGTACTGTCTCTGTCTTATCTTCAAATGCCAAACATTGAAATCAGTCCCTTGCTAATGTGTGGTGATATGTGACTTAGATGCTACTCCATCTATTCTAAATTATAAGTTGTTTTAACTTTTCTAGAAATATAGTTTTATATGCATCTAGATACGTTGTCACGATACAGTAAAAGACGACTATGTATCTTAAAAAGCTAAAATGACAAAATTTGTAACAAAGGGAGTAGTAAATGTCTATATATTATCTTTAAATTAAATGCCAAACCGTAAGCCCTGTCACTGGAGCAAGGGTGTGAAATTAAAACGTTCGACGGGAAATATAACTAAACAAGGGCTGGACCTCGCTGCTCCATCAATGTGGCAGGACGTGCTACACTTCCAGGGTGTGCATCGTGGCAGGTTGGCGATTAAGTGAAAGAGGACGAGACATGAGACAGTTAGGAAGTAGTTTGCAGTTGAAGGAAGGAGCAGATATGGATGGATGGATGGATGGATGGATGGAGATTCAGTGGTTAAAAGTACTGCAGGTCTTGGATCATGTCTTCCTTGTTAATCTGCAGGTCTTGGATGTAAGATGTGGAATTGGGGGGGCCTTAAGGGAAATAGCCAGATTCAGGTAATGAGTTAAAAAAATAAACTGCCATATTATACAGATGTCTCAATGCTATTTGTCATTCTAGCTCAACAGATATAACTGGACTAAACAACAACGCTTACCAGATATCAAGGGGCAAGGTTTGGTTATTCTGACTTATTCTTCAAGAAGTACAATATTAAACTTGTTAGCATATATACTTTTGCGTCAGATGCAATATAGGCTATTTGCATTTCAGGAGCTCAATTTTTCGGCCGGTTTGAGTGAGCAGTGCAACTTCATAAAGGTGAAGTTGTATCCGTTATCAGTAAATTATAATGGTTTTCGTCGGATCATGACCTTTCTTTATACTAAAATCTAATGTGCCTTACTATCTTTTTTGGCAATTGTAGGGAGACTTCATGAACATGCCATTTCCTGACAACACCTTTGATGCAGCCAACGCAATAGAGGCCACAATTTATGCTCCTGATGTAGTACGACTCACAAAATAAACTGCAAGCTAGAGTTATGTTTTTGAGTGAACACACAGTCCAGTGTTGCTGAGATTGTTTTTGGTATCTGGCTATTACAGCTAGGTGCCTACAGGGAGATATACCGGGTGCTGAAACCTGGTCAATATTTCGCACTAGATGGACTGCGCTTGACTGATAAATTTGATCCAAACAACGCTAAGCATAGGGACCTCAAGGCCAAAATTGAGCTCGGCTGTGCCTTGCCTGACGTCCGTACCACTCGTCAGTGCATCCAGGCTATGAAAGAAGCTGGATTCGAGGTGCTGTACTAAAACCATCAGGCTATGGTTTCAATGAGACAGATCTAGGTCAAATTACTTTGGGATATATAACGAAATGACTCTTCTGTTTGGCGAGGGATCTTGCTGAGGACTCTCCATGCCCATGGTACTGGGACATAGATGCCCACCTTTTCTCATGGAGCAGCTTCAGTTACTCTGGTGTCGCAAAGTTCCTCATGCGTGCAATTGTAAGTTACAGGACTGTACTGAGACATGTTTTTAGGTAGTCGTATAATCTGCAGGCTTTTGTGGGTAAGAATGTCTCAAGCTACTGCTTTATCGTTAATTTTATTGCAGGCTGGTACACTGGAGTTCCTCCGGATTGCTCCGAAAGGCAGCAGTAAGCTTGTTAGCATGCTGCATAGTGCATCCAATGACCTCATCATAAGCTGTCGGTAAGTCTTGAAAGGAAACTACAATGTCCTTATCAGAATCATAGAGTTGAGCAACCAAAATAAAATTTGACAGAAATAATGGACGATGCATGATCACAGGGAACAGATCTTTACAGTGACCTTCTTTGTCCTTGGCCGGAAACCTCTCAAGGAAAGTGATGTTTAAAGCAACCTACAATATAATGTCTAATGGAGAAAAGAATAAAGTTTCGTCGGATCCTTCTCCATTAAGCCTTATAAGATATATATATACTACGGAAGATGCTTGCTTGCATATGTAATCATATACAGTACTAGATTACTGATTGTGATGTATTTGAAATAATCATATTTGCCTTCAAATGTTATAGAAGATGTTTGTTTGCACATACACTATACCAGATTACTAATTGGGATCGTCTATGTGGAATAAGTATATTGTAAAGTTGAATTGTGACTCAAATACTACTTAGATTAGGATCTGCAATAATGCAACTATCGAACGCCCGCCTGCGTGACTTTACGTCCGGGACGCAGCTACCCAGAGAGATCTCGTCGAACGGACGCCCCGACCCGCTCACTCCAAAGACGCGATGATCGCCTCGCTTCCTCACTCCATTCTTATCCCTTCCGCACGCACCTGCCTGCCACCACGGACGCGGCCATAGCTACCTCCTTGGCATGCGGCGGCGCCCTCATCCACCCAGCGTGCAGCGCTCCCCACCCCGGTGTCCTCCTCCCCTACTCCGGTGATTCCTTCCCCACCCCAGTGGCCTCCTCCCTCACCACACGGGTGGCGCCCCCCCCCACCGCGGCATCCTCACCCACCGAGAGTGCCCAATGCCTGCAGATCTAGTGGTCGCCTCCCCACCCCCAGCCGAGATCCATGGAGGTGGCGGGCGGTGTTGCCGGGAGTGGACGTGGCTCTCCCCACCCCAGCGCGGCCCCACCCACCCCTGGCGATGCCCTCTCTCACCCCTGGTGACCGAGCTCCCTCCCACCCGGCGGCCGAAATCGACTGCCCCAGCCTTCCCCTCCCCTATGTTGCATGTGTATGTTTCAAATGTTTCAAGAGTTTCAGATGTATGTTGCATTTGTTTCATATGGATGTTGTAAAAATAGATCGGGGATGTTGCACATGTTGCATATGTTGTAATTGTTTTGAGAGGCATGTTGCAAGCATATGTTTCAAGTGTTTCATTGTTTCAGTATGTATATTTTATCTGTGTTTTTCGGATGCATGTTGCAAGTGTGTTTATCTCAGTATGTTGCATATGTTTCACACATACGCATTTCAGATGTATGTTGCAACTATTGTATTTGTATGTTTCAAAAGTAGATCTGGTATTGCATCTCTCTCGTCCCCACCTTACATTGCATTGTCTCGGTGTGTACTCCTCCTAGCGCCAAATAGGGCATCCATCTGACGCTGCGGCCGGGTCCTTCGAATCAAAGGCACCGCGCCATTCCCCTCTTGTCGCGACGGCCCCGCGTGGAGCGTGAAACGGATGGATCAATGACGTCTGGGCGCTTAGCACTACCGTGAGGATCAGTGGTAGAGCTATAGGGTGATCTCCTGTGGGCTGCGGACCACCCTGTGCTCGGGCTGCCAAGGCCCATAGGATCTGGAATCCGAGACATCCAAGCCTCTGTGAGCCAGTTTGTCGCTACGTCTTTGCGTCTGTCTTCGTCCCTTTGCAGCGATGCTTCCTATTCTTCTACTAGAGTAATGGTAAAATATTACAATTGGAAGTGAATTATGGTAAAATATACCAAACACCACCAGCGTGTTCAAAATTGCAAACCACGTGGGAGCCATTAGCAACTTAAACAATTATGGTAGAAAATGTCACCCCTAAAAGATCTGCTGCTACTTTTTGACGAAGAAAGGCATGCGAATTTCCCAAGTCAATCAATATAAAACTATGTCGTGGCCCTAAAAATTGCATTTAAACCTCAGTGTCGTGGGCGTTGTTTATCGCTTCGAAGGCGTTGAATGTTTGCTGCTCCCATTAATGATCACGTGAGGTGGAAGCCAACTCGCGTACCCGCATTGGTCTGTTCGGCTTCTCTTCTGGCTGCTCCTGCCCGATCCATCCATCGGTCAGCTCTCAGCTGGCATGTCACGCTCACGCCGATCCATCTCTGCGTCTGACGCGTCGGTCGGAGCTTGCGGTTCCCGAGAGGAGCGCGTTGACGCGAGCCAAAAGTGGCCCTGCCCGACGCACTACTACAGGCCCAATACGAGACAAAACTGGGCCAACTACAGCCCACCAAGGCCCGGACACTCTTCCTCCTCTGCAAGCGGCACGGGCGCACGGCGGCACCATCAGTCCACGGTCCACCACCGCTACCCGCGGAACCCCACAGCCCGCGGAGGCGCAGACTTATACTGATTTCAGGTACTTTGTGCTTGATTCTTGTGGTGTAAACGCTCAAAGTGAGCAGAGGCCATTTTTCAGTCAAGGCTAAGATGGCAATTCCAGCATCCTATCGCTCAACTATCTGGTTTTTGAAGTTATGGGAATACCGAACACATGCTTCATGTTCATCCGTGGAGTAATTTGACCTGCACCATTGTATGTTGTTCACCCCAAAACTGTTATAGTATTACTTTGTTAGAAGTTCTTTCATCCCAGAGGAAGGCTTACTTTTGGTTGGTCTGGTTTCTAATGGAGACCCTGTGGTTTTGGGATCCCATGGCATCAGAAAATGGACAAATTGGTTATTGGCCAAATATACTTATCGGGTTGGAGCATGCCATTTCATGCCCCCCCCCCTCCAAGCAACAGAATTAAGAATTACACTGTACATTGTTCAAGTCCCCGTTCCATGATGAGGACTTGAGATTGAGGAGCAACAAACTGAGCAACCCAGGTGTTCTCGTCATCACCCTACCTTCCCTATATCTGGTGGTCGTCCCTGTAATAGTCCTTACATATGGCTAGTTTGCAGAACACAAATACATAGTACGCTGCTCACTCAACAAATGTGTTCACTTAATCGGCATATGCAAAAAAAAAGGCGCTTTGAGGCGAAGCTGGGCGCTGCCCCCCCCCCCCCCCCCCACACACACACACACACGCGGTCACTCCAAGTCTGAAACACCACCCTGCGCGCGTCTCACCCCCAGGCAGAGGCCGAGCGTGATCTTGTTTCTAGGTGTCGGCAGACAGAACGTGTCAGGGAGCTTTGCTAGAAAGAGAGTTGGGGAATTTAATATTCCAGTCAATTAATTACATTAGATAAGACGCAATGGATGATCAGTGTCGCCACAAACAACTCAGAAGTGTCTAACTGAGGACAGCAGAATCAGCAAGAGTTCCCAAATCTCATGAACCACATCAAGCTGCACTTTGGTTACACATGAATCAAATGCTGCTTTATCGAGGACAACACGATCGAGATGCTTGTTCAATTTGAGCACATCAAGCTTCTGATCAGCCACCGCCGAATCCTTTTTGTGGCATCCACGAATCTGATGCCACTTGGAGAAGCTTCCAGCTCTGTGGCCCATCACATCCTTGAGCTTCTTGTTGTCAGAGAAGGGATTCAACAAGTTTTGGTCGAACTCTGAGAAACGCCTCTGGAACTCGTCGAGGATGAGCTTTCTCTTGAGAAGTGATTCCCCAATTTTTTATAATTTGGCCCCTATTTTGAACAAAATTTACATTTGGCCCCCTGAGAGACTTAAACTCATCTTTGGACCTTAGGGTCGGGCGTGCCAGACTCATGGCACCGAGGGTAACACGTCTCGGCGCCACAGATCTTGGAGCCGAGGTGCCCGCCGAGCACATGAGGGCATCCTAGGTGGCGTTGACGCGTGGCGGTACCTCGGCGCCAATCACATAGTGCCAAGCTCGGTGCCACAGATCTCGGCGCCAAGACCGTGGGCGCGAGCATTGATAACCACGCACGGCCGCCGCAGCTCTCTCTCGGTGCTCTATCTCTCACGCTTTCACACTCTGTGACATGAAGGTCGATGGATATTAATGTTAGATTGATCTCTAATACCAAACTGGGTCCAACGGCCTAGTTGGGCCTTTGATTCGTGCCCTGATCGAGGGCGCCCAGCCCACTATGGCTGGAGGTCCCCTGTCACACTGTGCTATATATAGAGGTGGGGGTCGGCGGCTCTGAGTACGAGGTTTACCGTGAGCCGAGCTCCCCACTGAAACCTAAACCCTAATGCCGATCAGAGAGGAGCGCAGCCAGTGACGGGAAGCCACCAGCCGCACCGCCCCGCTCCACCGACATCGACGACTTCATTGACCTCTTCCCCGAAAGCCGCTGCCCGTGCACAGACTTCACCGACGAATGAGACGGTGGCTTTTGGACCATCTCCTTCTACGGTGTTAGGTTCGACACGTTCTTCTTCTATTCCTCTTTATCTTTACTCTCGATAGGGCATTCACAGTAAAGAGAACCCGCTAGACCTAACCCTAGATGATATTTTCGATCTCAACAATGGTATGAGAGCCTCACTGGGTATAGATCTAGCCTATCGAAACCCTCTATCTAGATGTAGATCATGTCAGGGGTAAGAAACAGATTAGATCCGTTGGGACCTGAGAAGAGAAGAGGGTCACCAAACCCTAACCCTAATTGGGTGAAGAACAGAGAAAAGAAAGGGGTCTCGGCACACAAAGCCAAAACCTAACCCACGAATCAAACTCGAGGAAGAAGAACAATGAACGAAACCCTAACCCTAACCAAACCCTAATCTCGATCCTAACCCCATCCCAAACCCTAAATCGGATAGATCCGAAAAGAGAAGAAAGGAAAATCAAATCATAAAAGGGGAAGGGGAAGAGGCCTACGTCATCATTTGCACCTTGCCGCCTCTTAATTGTCGGCAAGACGGGCGCGTACTCTAGGGCACCGCGGCCAGGCCACTCGACGTCGGCGCGCTCACCCCCTGGGGAGTGCACGGGGTGGCGAGAGGGCAGCGGCGACGCATATTGTCATCATCGCTCTCACTCCATGACGTCGCAGGGATGAGACAGAGAAGGAGGAGAAGCGGCCAGGTCAGATTTAGCGTTTCAGACGGGATCAGGGCACCGCCGCCCAGACCGCTCGACGGTGGCGTGCTCACCCGCTGGGGAGCGCGCACGCCGGCGAGGGGACCAACGACGACGTCGTCTTTGCGTTTCTTTCACTCGGTTGCTCACTGCTGCTGCGCTAAGG